TCAGTTCATTGCTTCCCTCCAAAAATATCTCTCATGCAGGCCAGAAATCTCTCTTGGTAGCTGGATGTCTCAGCTGTGCCAAAGGCCTGACCTGAGCAAGACTTCTCTGCACTGAATGACAGGCCAGGCTTAGTTTCCTGTCAGCTTCATGCTTTACAGGACAGCAGGACAGCTGAAACAAATGAGCCAGTGGCAGAATTTTGGTAAGCCCTGTAGAAACTGGGGCTCCCCAGCTTTCCATGACTTGGCTGCTCTTGCTGGTCCAAGGGGTCTCCTTGCTTGCGGCATCTCCCTTTTCTATAGGTCTGTGTGGGTCCTGGGTTGGCAAGCCAAGGGAGATCAGCTCCATGCTTCTTTTGCATGGAAACCCCTGGGAAGCTGGCTTCTAAGCTAAACTGGTATTTTCATCAAAATCTGTCCTGGAGATAAAGATGACATGTTCTCCCAAAAGGCTTGTGCAGCTTTTGAGGGCTTGGCAGAAGAGTAATTAGTTTCCCTGGATGTCTGCTGTCATCCTGAACAGTGGAGAAAACCCACAAATGAGATAAGCAGGCTAAAAAACTTGGAAAAATAGCTTTGAGTGCAGATGTTTAAAGGAAGAGAAAGGTAGCCTCTGTAATTTGGCAGCATTCAGGCCCTCTGCTGAGGCAAGGCAGGTGGTCCTGGAGACCTCGAATTCCAAATTTATTTTCCGAGTTCCTGTGTAAGCCCATTTTTCTCCACACACATGACCCAGATCACAGAATCAAGCATCCAGAATCACTTAGGTTGGAAAAGACCTTGGACCCTTGACTGTTCACTGCCTTGTCAACTACACCATAGCACTGAGTCCAGCTGTTTCTTGAACACCTCCAGGGATGGTGACTCCAACACTCCCCTGGGCAGTCCGTTCCAATGCTTAACAACCCTTTTTGTGAAGAAATTATTTCCCATATCCAATTTGAACCTCCCCTGGCACAGACTGAGGTAACAATCTCTGAATTTTACCATGGCAGCCAGGCAAAAATGATTAACACCAGACTTCTTTCTTGAACCTTAATTCAGGAGAGGCGTCTCCCACTAATCGGATCCTAACAGGGAACAAGTACCAAAAATAATGAAAACAATCCAAAATCTCCAGTGAAATGTTCTCAATAACTGTCCAGCTCATTAGCTGGAAGCAATTTTGTAAATTTGGTACCCTTCCCCATCATGTGACTTCCTCTGGCAATCACAGTGGCCCTGGAAGGCTCCACCAGGCAGGAAGAATGGGCAGCAGGCCCATGGCAGCAAACTATTTAATGACTGGGTTGTTGTGCAAGTGACTGTCATCTGTGAGAGGAGGATGTTTTCCAGTTTGTCCTTGGCAGCTTAAGCTTTGCTGAAGGATAACCATATTGCAAAGACAGGGAATTTCAAGAACTGCTTTTGCTTTTAGGCATTTTGAGTGATGTGTGCTCTTATGAAGTTCAGATTCGGATCTGTACTTCCTTGAAGCTCAAGGAGATCAGAGCATCTCTAATTGGGAACAGTAATCCCTTTAATTTCAAATAACAGCTGGAGGCTTGCTTACATACAGTCAACCATAGAGGTTTCTCAAGATCTTCAATTTACAGGCAGTGATCATCTACCTTCACTCATTTCACTGTTTTACTGTTATGTGAAGTTTTTCTAGTTCAGTCTGGAAAAAAACCAGCTTTGGGCTGACCTAATTGTGGCCTTTCAGCACCCTACAGGTAGGAAGCCTGCAAAAAAGATGGAGGGAGACTTTTTACAAAGGCATGTAGTGACAGGACAAGGGGGAATGGCTTCAAACCAAAAGAGGGTAAGTTTAGATTAGATATTAGGAATAAACTCTTTATATGAGGGTCGTGAGGAACTGGAACAGGTCATCCAGAAAAGCTGTGGATGCCCCATTCTTTAAGGGGTCAAGACCATGCTGGATGGGATACTGAGCACCCTGGTCTAGTGAAAGGTGTCTCTGCCCAGAGCAGGGTAGTTGGAACTAGATGATCTTTAAGGTCCCTTCCAATCAAAACCATTCTATGATTCCACCTGTGTCTACTCAGTGAAACACAAAATGAAAGGTAACCCATTCAGGAGCTGAAGCTTGGGTCCCCTATCAATGGTCTTATGTCTACAGCTTTGCACCATTTATGATGAAAACATGGTTTTAATGCTGAGAAGATTTAAACTAAACCAAAAAGCAGTTTCAGCAGCAGAATGTTAATTAGGGACACTAATACATGAAGTAGAAAGTATTTAACAGCTTGGCCCAGCTACTGAAAGAAATATCTGCACATACCTACATCACAGTTTGTTCTACTACACCAGAGCTTCCTCTGAAACAGCAGTATTACCAGAAAACAACATATTTTGTTGAGAAATGACACTATTTCATTTGAGACATTCAGAAAACAATAAGTATTGTTCATCTGCTTCTGTTACTGTTCCAAAGGATTCTGAAGAGTGAAATGCCCAAGCCCTTTATTCCGTTTCTTCCTCAGGAAGGAAACAACAGTCCAAGTCACAGCATTTTGTCACTTGCTGTCACAATGACATGCTCTTGTTGCACACCAGAAATGGTCTAAAGAACATATCAGCGTGGATAACAGTTTTTCACCAGCTAAGCACTCCCCAAACTTCTAAAAATTTGCATTAACTGGTGTAAAACTAACTAATGAATAAACTCCTCTGATATTTAGTATGTTCATGGTTGTTCAGTAACTGCTAGGTGGCAAAGCAAACTTTTTTTTTCTGCTGCTCTTGTCTTATAACACTTTAAACGTCCCATAGCAGAATATATTTGATGGCATCACTGAAATGCAATGTATCTGTTCTGTTGAGGAGATGTCAGAGGTTAAATACAGCTCTTCACAGGGAAAAAGCAGCATGAAAATCATGGTGCTAGGAATTAAATCAAATTACCACGTCCTATTATTTCAGGTGCTACTGCTGAACTTCTGCTTTTCTGATTATTTCCCCACTACTTTAAGAGTGAGGCTAAGATAAAACTTACAGATAATATTTCTGGCCTAGTAATGCCCTGTATAGGTTATGGAGAAGTATCAAAATTACTGCTTAGTTAGCACTACCAGATACCTACCTAGGACACATCTTGCTTGAAACAGCATGTGTTCCCCCACCTTAGGGGCTTCAAGAATAGTAGCTCCTTCCTTTTTGCACACAGAAGGCCTGGGAGGCATTGAAAGCAGTGCACAAGCACAAATAAATTTCCTGAATAGCATGTGGCCAGCTGGTAATGTTTAGTGAAGTCACCACACACTGACTCTTGCTATTCACTTTCAGCATTAAACTTCCACTGCAGTGGGTAGGAGCATGAGCACCAAGTTTGATCCTTGCCTGTCTTACTCCCGGAAACAAGGCAGAGGGATGTCTCCAGAAAAGAGATTCTCACTAATACATTATTGCTTAGCTTTGATTTTAAATGTTGAATTTTCAGTTATTCTTATAGAAAATTAGGAGAGTCAAATCACGGTCCTGCTTGAAACAGCATGTGTTCCCCCACCTTAGGGGCTTCAAGAATAGTAGCTCCTTCCTTTTTGCACACAGAAGGCCTGGGAGGCATTGAAAGCAGTGCACAAGCACAAATAAATTTCCTGAATAGCATGTGGCCAGCTGGTAATGTTTAGTGAAGTCACCACACACTGACTCTTGCTATTCACTTTCAGCATTAAACTTCCACTGCAGTGGGTAGGAGCATGAGCACCAAGTTTGATCCTTGCCTGTCTTACTCCCGGAAACAAGGCAGAGGGATGTCTCCAGAAAAGAGATTCTCACTAATACATTATTGCTTAGCTTTGATTTTAAATGTTGAATTTTCAGTTATTCTTATAGAAAATTAGGAGAAACAGTCAAATCACAGTCGTCCTAGTCCAGAATTTCAGTAAATTTCAGTGCCAGTAGCTAGTCCAGCTTCCACTGAGAGACTGTGTCACTAGGATTGCACCCCGTGAATAAACTGAGGACACAAGCTTATCCAGAATTTTCTATTCATAGATAATGTTATCTTGAGGACACACTATAGTTATCTTCAGGGACATGAGAATTGGAAGGCTACCCCACATCACTCTTCTGCAAGAGCAAGCTAAAAAAAGCTTGAGCTATGCTTTTTCTTTTTTTTTTTTTCCTCCTGGCATGCCACATCTGAAGGCAGAAGTAATTAACACAAGGAAAAATGAACAAAGTTGCCAGACCTGGCTGTTCAAATCAGTAGGACCTATCCATATTCTGAGAGGTCTGGACAAAGAGACAATTACACAAAAGTGGTCTACTAAAGATTTTCCAAGCAGAGCTTGGCAGAAAATTGTGTGGTTGTTTATTAGCCTGGCTTCCAAGTCCCTCCCTTGGCCTTCCCCCTAAATCCTACTCAGCTTGGAAAACCCCTCTCAGAGGAGAGACTGTCAGGAAGTCTATAAGCAGATCTTTAGGCAATCCTGAGGGGCAACCTCAGGCTAAAAATAAATAAATGACCTGGCAACATTGATCTTTGAAAGCTGCTGCTTGCCGTACTGAATCCAGAAGTACTGCTGCTCATGTTTCTGCCTTCCTACAGACAGATGGCAAAGTAGAGCCAAGTCAAGAAAACCCTGGTGCAAAGCTCTAGGTGCCAGGGACAGGTATATATCTCCAAACTCTGTCTTGAGCAGCACCCCTTATTCTTACATACCCACAGGCCAGCTGCCCTCTTCCATCCCTTGACTATAGAGTGCAGCTCCCAGCTGAAATCAGTACATACATACACACACACACACACACACACACACACACATATATATCTTTTTTGCAGCTACCAAAATGTAAATCAACTCCAATGCAAAGGAATTTAAATCTCTCTCTCTGTAAAGAATATGAAGACTCTCAGCTTTTAAAAATAAATCAACGTTTTCACATAAATCAACTCTAATGTAAAAGTCCATTCATGGGAAGAAAGACAACTAAGATATCTTTACATCAGTTGTGAAGACTCTTAGGAGAATTATGTAAAAAGGTCATTTATTTCCACATAAACCCAGATTTTTCTTCATGCAACGTAAGCCTCTTACAGAGCTTTTTGGGGGGTTTGGATCTTGGTGCAAAACATCAGTATTTATTTTTCTAAGGTGGTTTTGAAAAAGCAGATATTTGGGAGGTTACCTTGCCCAGCTTGTGAATTTTGCTCTACATACTGGAAATAGACACCATAACACAAGATACAAGAGTATCTTTATAAAATAGTGTTTCCACTATCGAGAAAATAACCTTGAAACTAGACTAACAGAAATTTCATTATGTTTTATACAGCAGGAATGGTTTGGCTCCAGGTTTAAATCCCACTATATTACAAGAGCATTACTCACTCAGACTTAATTACAGATTCCAGCTGGAGTATGACCCTGTCTCAAAAGCATCAACTCAGATAACAGAACAGCTTTGCAACATCATTTTTTTGGCACCTGAATCCTGAACTTGGCACAGCTAATTAAGATCAAACAAATGTTGACATGATGACCCTGTTACAGGAACACAATGCCTTCCCAATACTGACCCCAGCATTCCACAAGACATAGTCTGGAACATTTACTTTGTGAGTAGCATCTCCAGCAAGTAGTTCCACTTTCAGTACTACTGACTGCCTCTCAGAGAAATGTTTGCTTCCAAAGTCCCCAGATTATGGGTCATCTGTCATGACACTGAGTCATTCAGGCAACTCAGCTTCAACAGAAAGCTTCAGAAGGAAAAGGAGTTATTTTAACCTGTGCTAGAAGTTTTGTGCTTGAGCAACTGGAGAACAAGGAAAAGCATTTCTAGGAACAGACCTAGAGATGACTGAGCTGGCTGTACTCAGGCATTTGCAATTCAATGCACTGACACAGTTCAGCTCTATTTCTTGAATGTCTGAGGACCATGTTTCCACACACTATATCCTGCAAAGCTCTGTATCAGAGGTGAACTGGGTACTGCCCTCTGGACAGAAACTCTAAATTCAATAGAAGGCTACATGTCACAACTACGAATATTTCAAATGAAGATGGCACAGCTTTATGTGCTTTGTTTCTGCCACGTGGGAAAGCTGTTGAAAAGTTCTAGATGATCAAAAAAAAGCAGTTCATATACCTCTGGGAGAAGGGGGTGCTGAATCTGTACCCTGTTTTCACAGCCTGGAAGGAAAAAAAAAAATCAACCCTGCCTCAACTCTCTATTCTGATTGTTTAATTCAATGCTGTGATCAGAGTACAGAAGTTTACACGTATCTTGTAAACAACTCTAATGTGCATGGATCCCAAATAAACCCCAGATCACATACAGGTTTTAGGTGTGGTATTTCATATGAAAGCAGAAATAATATTTTATTTTCTCCTAAAATCAAATTAGCCATACATAATAAGGGCCTGGAGTGGGTGTTCTTTCCTAGACTCCAGAGAGAATCAAAAGAAGTCCAGATCATGAGGGGAAGACAAGAGAGACTCTGGTACAAATTCATTTTTACTTTTGCTGCTGTTAAGAGCATCCCCCTCTCTTAAATACCACTCCTTCCTCTTCCTGCACCAAGACCTTTGTTTAGAGACAAAACTCCTGAGCCCAGAGTAAAAATACTGTCCTTAGGGTCTAAGTATGAATGTAATGACAAGCATAATTCTGGAAGAGTTCATCCAAAAATGAGAAAGACTAATGTTTTGTGGAGGGGCAACAAGACTAATATATAACAATATTTGATAATAATAGTTGATAGAATACTTTTTTTTCTCTGCAAAACCAAACTGGAATTCCTGCAGTGCGTCAGAGATTAAACAGTAGGCAAACACTCACATCCACTTTATAGCTCTACAGCCTAGATGGGAAAAATGGCAGTTCAAGTAATGTGCCTGTGTCAAATCATAGGGGAGTCTGACTATGAGCTCTTGCTGTTTTGCAGCCAAAACTAGGTTATATATGCATGTTCAGATTTGGCCTTGTTAGAGAATGTCCTGTGAGAAGCATCAGAAAAAAACAATCTGAATAAGCTGGACAAAGCTGTGGCTTTGGATTGGGGTGGGTTTTTTAATTTTGTTTTGGTTAGTTTATATTTTGTTCATTTATTTAAATCAGTGCCTGGTCTACTCTTCAGAAACAGTCAAAGAAATAATTTTACATGGGTTGTTGGAGAGTATCTTATAGCTTAACTGAGATTACAGTGAGAATCTAAGATTTCATCAAGTTTTTCATCCTCCAGTTTTCTGTGTGGAAATAAATGGCAGAAGAGAAAACTGATGACATTTTGCAGTCTCTTTGGAAAGAGAGAACAATATAGCAAAATCATTATTATAGACTGTAACACATTTATGAACAGAATGAAATATAAGATTTTTAATAATATTTGATGTAACTGGATTACTGTCTCTTCAGTTTTTCATGGTTATCACTGAACACCTTCAATTTACATTCTTAAATAAATCACTGTGTAAATAAAATATGCTCAGAGATCTTGTATGTGAACAGTACTTACAATTAATTACAAATGATCTGGATATGTTTATAGGTGAAATACATTAAAATTGTTTACAGGAAATAAGCTCAAATAGCACTAGTTTTGAAATCTAAATTTTCACAACAGTACTGAGTGTAGCTCAGCTATTTTCTTGAACATGCTTTTCAAAATGGAGTTTGGAATGCAGTAGAAAAAAAAATCAAAGAAATGCCAAAAAGAGGGAAGCACAGAAGATCAAAACTCCATAGCAGGTTGGATCAATAAAATATTAAACTGTAGTTCTTAAATGTAAGTACTACACCAAGTAGTAGCGTGGCTGTTTTTAAATGTTAAAGCCCTTGTTTTCTAAAGGAGACAGTAATAAGCATTTTTCCTATTCAATCCACTCAAGATTTAGACATCGTGCTACAAAAGCGAACATATCTGACACTTCTTCTATAACTTTAGCAGTTGGCTTTCCTGCTCCATGCCCAGCCTTGGTGTCAACATGGATGAGAAGTGGATTGGTTTGTTTACTGCTTCGGCCCACAATGTACTGCAGGGTAGCGATGAACTTCAGAGAATGCAGAGGGACCACACGGTCATCGTGGTCTGCTGTCAGCAGTAGCGTGGAGGGATACTGGATGCCATCTTCTTCTGGTAGTTTGACATTGTGAAGTGGAGAGTACCTGAGAAAAACACAAAAATGTTTCCATGTCTTTTTCCTCAAGACGCAACAAGAAGGTCCTTTCCTACTGAAACCATCACAGTGGCATTTGTAGCACTCAGCATAGAACAGTTCTCAGATACATTAATCAGAATTGTGCTAATGGCAACTGACATGCAATAGTGGCCGCAGATCTCTGGTTCTGAAATGTGAAGCAAGTACATTTCTTTATTTTCAAGAGAGATGTATGTGTACATCTCGCAGGAATGTCCAAAATATCAGGAGAAGCCAGCGGGGAAACTGCAGCAAAACCTGTCAAGTCCATAGCAGGATCCATCCTGCTGGAAACAGGGAAATTGAGACTCTCAACTGAAGCTGAGAAATTAATTAAGATCCTATTATGGTCTAGTACCATTCAATTCCTACAAATAAATCCAACCCACGTTGTATAATACAATTCACAATGGAGACTCCCTCTCCCTCATGGTAAAAAATACAATTTATGTAGTGGTCCACTTGAGAATATTCTGTTGTAATAGCCTGAAAGAGTCATTATTCAGAAAGAAAACTTTACAAACTGTTAAAAGCTGCTAGGGGAACAAAGGTCTTTGAAAACAGGACCACTTGATTCAACGGGGCTTTCTAGATAGTCTCTGATTCAAAACTGACTTGTAAGGAAATGCTGAACTCTCCAAATTCAGTGTGGGAAAGGATGAACTAATCACTAGAATAGACATTGATCGTGACAACTGGAAACTGTTGAGCAGACTATGTGTTTTAACAAGCCCAGGAAGTATTTAAAGGCACTTACTTGCGCAGCCATTCGAACTGCTCCTTACAGTCGGAGCAACCATAGTCAGTGGTCCAAGCGTGGCCGATGGTGTACTTGTGGAACTTGAGCATGTCCATCACTCCCACTTGGGCAATAGCACAACCAAACAGGTCAGGGCGCTGGTTAGCACAGGCAGCTTCAGCAGGAGAACAATGCCATTAGTATTCAGATCTTAAAGAATTAAGTTCAACAGTGAAAGGTTCACTACCAAGTCGTACTGGGAGTAGGCTGTCAGTGAAAATGAAGTAAAATAGACTTTCAAGCAAAACTGTAAGCAAATACACAAATGGATAAAAACTGTAACTCTGAAAAATAATATTTTCAAAAGAACTTAAGAGCCATTTCTCTGCTCTTCAGAGAACCAAACATGTTTTTCTATGAAAACTGGCTTTCAAACCACCAAACTGGGACTGAAGGAGAAATAAACTTTTAAAACATGTGAGATTTTGAACTACTGAACTGAAGGTACCTAAACCATTCGCTGTTTAAACTTTCAATGTTAGTTTCAAGACTATTATTATTAATGCCCTTTTCCATAATTACTATGTAAACCCATAAGAAAAGAGTTTTGATAAAAGCAGACCGTTACAAGATCAATGGAATAACCTCAAATTAACACAGTGAATTGCTGCTGTATTTTCTTGTTTTACGATTTTTGCCTTCCTACAGCTGGAAGGGACAATTTCTTTAAGAATAATGCTTGCCTCATATATTTTAAAAACAACTGCAGTAGGCCCATCAAGCTCAGTGTTCAATGTATACGAGTGGCAACTGGGAGATCTCTCCCGTAAATTATTATCTGATGAACTAGATATTTCAGTTTTCTCTGAGCTGGAGTTATCTTCAGCCATCCTATAAAAAAGCCATCAAAACACACATCCCCTGTAAACACAACTGTTTCCTCTCTTACTATTTATTCATCATATCCTGTAAGTTCTTCAATTCCAATTCCTGTTTCTTGATTTAAACCTTTTCCCTGGTGATTTTACAAATTCCCCTGCCTTTATTGAATTTTAAGAAATAAGAGCACTGAAATTTTCACGTAACTACTACAATGAATCCCATAATCCCTTAATTAATTCAGAGCTATTCACTGTGCATCCACATATAGGTATGATCTTTCCCAAATTCTTATCTCCTCATTTTTGTCCATTGTGAAAATGGATTATCACCACTCTTTGCCTCCTGCTAACCATGACATTGCTATGACATGACTTTGCTTCCAGCTCAGCAAGGACTTTCTTTCACAGCTTTTGAAAATCCAAGAATAACTCCTCACCTAGATCACTGTTACAAGCCCCATATGCATCCCGACTCCTTCAGATAGCTCTAATACATTTGAAAGCTGCAACTTCAGCCTGTAGAATTCTTTCTTTTATGTCAGCTATTATTTATTGGTTTCAACTAGCTTGCCCATTAGAAAAGTCAGATTTACTCATCTGCAGCTTGTGGATCACCATGAACCATTTAAAACTTGGCATTACACTTGCCCCCTTCTGTTCCTCAGATAGTCAGGCTTAGTAGCCTGCAATTTCATACCAGAGTTCACTTAGGATCCTGCATGTGCACCATCTGGTCCTGGCAACATGCCACTTTTCATTGGACTGATTCATTCCAAAACCTTTCCTGCTGATGCTTCAACTGGAGTCAGCTCCCCAGAATATTCTCCATGAAGACAGACCCATGCAGGGAAACCCCACCCTCTCCTCAGGAGGGAACATCAAAACAAACAGACCATTTAGTTGTTCTGCTTTGCAATTCATTTTCTTTAATGCTCCTTTTACATCTCACTAACCTGCAAGTCCCACAGATCATCTGACCAGCTTCCTGCCTCTGATGAGCATAGAAAAATGTCATTGCTAATCTTAATATTGGAAACAATTTGCTCATCCATCTCCTGTGGTCTGTCTGTCCCTGCCAAGAGTTTACACTACACCCTATTTTCTTCATTTAAACATGATTTTTACTTTCTGCAAAATGAAATTTTACTTCTGGTCATCTCTGATATGTAACTATGCTAATTCTTCCTTATTTATGAGTCATTTCCATAAGGTACATATAGTGCCTTAAAGAGATGCTATGTAAAAGATTTTTAGGAAGATCAGGTCTCTCCTTTTCAAGCTATTTTCTTTTATGAACATAAATTGTATTGTGGTAGGAACAAAAGCCAAAACAACTAGCATAACATTTTATTTTAGTACTATTTATTTCAGAATGTCTCTTGAGGCACTGTCTGTTGCTCAGGATTTTGGAAATTGCTCCTTGCTAGTTCCTTAAGTAGTTACTTCAGTGAGAAATCACCTATGGAGACACTCATCCATGCACACTACAACTTTCAATTAGCCATAATAATTATATGCATTAATAAAGTGTAATCTGGAACAACAATTTATTTGTGAATTTTACGCCCCTTTATATAACTTTGAGCTTTAAAATTCAGTACGAAAATAAGCCTTCAAAATGTTGGAATGGTTTTGTCTAGGCAAACATGAGAGGTCAAACACTGCATTTGCAGGGAGGTTTTCAGCTCACAGCTGTACTGCTCTGCTCAGCTTGGGGATCACACTGCAGGACAAGGAAGTCTTGTTTTGCAGTTGAATGAGGCAAGACGAGCTCAGGGCTCTGCAGTCCTCAGAGTCACCTCCTGTTAGTCTGACTGAAAGGAAACAGTATTTTGGGAGAGTGACAATACTCTTCCTTGTCAGCTTTTTCTCCAAGAAATAAGAACGAAGAAAATCTGGCAGTGGGTCTTTGAACCTACAGGATGAGTTATGATCTCTAATGTTGCATCAGTAACTATTGCAAAATTTACTTTTGCTTTGATAAAAAAGACCTTATAAAAATTTCCTGAATTCACCTAATTCCTCAAGGAAAATCCCTATCTGGCTCATGAAGAGCATGGAAATCCTGCTTGACTGTAATCCACCAGTAAATTCAAGGGAAGGATTCTAACAAGATTTTTTAGAGCAGGGAGGTCTAACACTTGTCTCCTACCATAATGATGTGCTTCCTGCAGTCACCACTTGCTTCCCCTTATTGACACAAGGAGCCCAGATGAATAGTTCAGCCAGTGACCCAGGGGATTTTATTACTGAAGCAGGGTAGGATGAATCTCATCCTGACTGAAGCTGAGGTCCACATAACGATAAAGAAGTATTCTCAGAAGCTATGTAATATATTCAAAGTTTAACTGCATTTCACACTATATATTTGGGCCCAACATAAAACTGACTTGTGCAATGCTTGCATTCCCAAATGGAGTACAAACCCTTAAATCCTTTATCATATTCACCCATTTCTATTTCAAATGCACAAACACCTTCTGCCACTTGTTACTGAGAAGCATATAAGCAAAAACCAAAATACAGCTTTACAAGTACTTGTTACTTGATCTTTAAAACAATTGCTTTTTAAAAATAATAATGCAGGTCTAGCCAAGATGGCTTAGACTAAAGATCTGTATAATTCCAAATTCTGTTTCTCATGCTGGATGCTAATTCACTGAAAAACAGAATAAAATCAGTAGAGTCAGTATACAGCAGCTAATAAATACAAAAAGAAGAGCAAGCAGAGTGGGTCTAGGGAAACTGCTCATTTTCTATAATTCAGTGGTTTATGAACTTGAGGTGCCTTTTTTACCCCCTTATCACATAAGTAGCTCAGATCTGTCATGCTGTCACCTTTTATGCTGCTTAATAAAAGGCAAACAGACCCCGATACTATTACTTTGTGTCTCCATTTTCTTTCAAAATTGCACAAAAAAAATCACCTTCTTTTTTCTTCTGTTATTTTCAGATACTTTCAGATAGGGATCTTATCAGAAATAGCTTTTGTAGCTCTTAGACTGCTCAGAATGCGAGACAAGACTTCTGTTTAAGAGAAGGCTATTAATTTTCTTGAATTTAAGAATGCAGCAGTGAATTTTAAGTGAACAAGATGCATTTGTAACAGACCACACACAGTTTCCCAATGCTACATAAATTAATAGTTCAGTGGTTATTTTGCAATGGTTAACCTTAAGAAAGAAAGATTAGAAAAAAACCCATGTTTTTTAAACCATTCTTACTTTCCTCCACCAGAGGATTAGCTCTTACCACACAAATCTGTGTGACTTTTAACAGTCAGCCTTTGCCAGAGACTTCAGAATTCCAATCTCCTATGCAAACTGCAAATGAAGTACTACTGTACATATTTAACACCTGGTATGCATTAATGCATTGACATTCTGGCAACTTTTGACAGGCAGATCTCATCAGTTTTTGTTTGTTTACTTTAATAAGCCCAGCACCAAATCTGGGAAATAGACAAACAGTTCTTACCAACTAAGAGGCCTCCATTTGAGCCTCCATTAATAGTCAGCTTCTTTGGGGATGTGTAGCCTTCCTTGATGAGGTATTTGGCAGCACACTGAAAGTCATCAAAGCAATTTTGTTTGTTGGCCAAGATACCACCTAGCATGGAAACAAAACAAATCAGTTTATACCATAAAATCCTTTTGATATCATCTCTTCAGAAAAACATGTGTCCAAAAATACCTGGGAACAATTCCAGTTTCATGAACATTTTAATAATTGATGCAGCTCAGAAGAACAGCAAAAATGAAAGATTCTGTCAACACAGAGAGGCTATAAGATGGTTCTGTCAATAACTCTGATGCTTTCAGAAACTCTGAATAATACATACCTATACTGTGGAATGAGTACCAGGTAATGTTCCTAACCAGTGAAAGGAAAGCTAAAAGCTTTGCACAGCAAAATATATACAAAATGACCACATACAACACGCTTGAGGTTTAAGCTAATGGGACTTTTAACATCATTAAACTCAGTGACAGTTTCTTAAGGCAATAAAGATTCAGCTTATAAAATAGGCTATATAAAACAAGCACTTCTAATTTCCTGGATATATAATATGTGGCTGGCAATTTACTTTTTTTCCCTATTAGCAGTTTTCTAACCACATGATATAAAGCTATGGTCAAAAAGGGACTTTAGAGTTCCATCTTGCTTTGAAATTTTATTAATTAACTTTCAACATGGATATGCTTAAGATACTGCCATAATTTTGAATGAAATTCCAAATGTCATCAGATGTACAATGGAACAAATAATGACAGAAAATGTTGGTTCTGATGACATCATTGATAAGACTTCCAGGTCTGAAAAAAAAAATTTTGCAGGGTGGGATAGGGAAGGAAAAAGATGATTTTCCCTACAATCTTTCAATTATTCTAATAGAAGAGTATCGGCTTAGACAACTCACAGTTGTCCAAATCTTGCTTGTTTGGCAAGAGACTCAAATTAGATCCTCCTCAAACGTTATCATACCTAAAGACCATGGTAATCTCGGCCAATTAAATGCTAGTAAGAAATGGGATTGCATTCCTGTAGCAAAGGCCAGCCAAGCAAGCAGGGCTTACAAGATGCAGAAATGGAAGTCCAGTGTTCTCTACTTTCTTTAAAAGCTGGATGTTTATTCCAAGCTGCTTGCCTAAGGTTCCCCCTATGGTCCAGGAACCTCCAGGACAATTAATTTTACCCTAAATTAAGTTAGATAAGCTACAGTCTGGACATGTTTCTTTATCTCCATTCTCCATCAAGTGATCCTTAGACAACCAGTTCACAATGGTTTTTAAAACCATTTAGAAAACCAATGGTTTTGTAAAACCTTTGTTTCTATGTCACAGAAGTTTAGCAAGATAAGTCTGACACTTAGTCATAAAGACCTTGAAAAATTCAAACCAGTACATTTGTAATTTTTTTTTTAATAAATACACATCATTCTTGTATTAACAAGACCGTTGAGGACAGACATACTGGGACAACAAAAAAGTCTTTAAGTATGTGGCAATAAAGAAGAAATAAATCTTAGTCCTTGCTCAAAACACCAGGCTGGTGTAAAGTCAGAATCCTATTTACAAAATTAAACCCAAGCAAAAAAAACTTCTGTAACTGCTTCTAGAATTAAAAAAGAACAGATACATATTTTATTTCAAATTGCAATAAAAGACTTGGGTCATAATCAAGCAGGAAATAGGTGGATCAAAGAAGCATTATCATATTAAAATAAATTTTATTAAAATCTACTACAAATCAATCTGCAAATTAAAATTAATGAAGGATACTTCATCTTTAGCAATATCCTGTATCTGCAAGCAAATACAGCTTCTATTTATGAAACTATTACATAATTAACTCAATTGTGAGGAAATGACCCAGACAAATAGTTACCACAGATGAAATAGTAAAATCAAGATGCAATGATCTGGAAATACCATTTTGTCTGATAAAAAGATATTATGGATTACTGCCATGGCAAATTGCTATATCATAAGCACCACTGTTTTGGTACATTTGCCTCGCTGATAACATTCCTAGCAACTTATGCACCAGACTCTTGGAATAAGAGTAAAGTGTTATGATTAAATAAGGATAGGCATGTTCCTGAGATAAGGACTTTTTTAAGCTTTTTCCCCTGGTGGAGGAATGTGGACAGTTGTCAACAATAAGGAAAGTAGACAAAGACAATTCAATTATTAAGACAAGATGGGAAAAACATGGACAGAAATAGATCAAAAGTGTTAAGAAAAGGGAAAAAGAGATTTACAGAGCTTTTCAGTGTTTGAATGAGTTTCCCTGTGGCATGACAGTTTAAAAAAAAACTAAAAGGTCAAATGGTTACCTACAAATTGGATCCCCCAAGAGTTTGGAGGGGATGATATGAATGCACTTCTGGAGCTGACAGTTTTCATATGAACTTCAATCATGGAATCACAAAACCATTTAGGTTGGAAAAGACCTTTAAGACCATCAAGTTCAACTGTTAACTCAGCACTTTCATGTCCCTAAGACATATCTATGTGTCTTTTAAATACCTCCAGGGATGGTGACTCAACCACTTCCATGGGCAGCCTGTTCCACTGCTTGAAAATCCTTTTGGTGAACAAATATTTCCAGTCACATTCATCAAATTAAAAAAAAAAAAAAAGTCTATTCATAAATTATGGAAAAATAATATAGAAGAGTTTACACTCTGAACTCCAGGGTCACACCTTCCACAAAGTTCTGCAATTTTTTTTTGTGTGTGTGTGTGTGTGTGTGTGTGTGTGTGTGATACAAAGAGAGCCTAAATAGTCAGTGTTGTTGTTTTGATGATTAGAACAGGACACCTGCAATAATCAAAGAGGTATGTGAAAGCAAGTCAGGTCTTTTTAAATAGGCAGACATTTTTTGTAAGATCAGTTCAAGAAAAATAGTTGCGTTTTCCAGTGTTTAAGTCCAGGGAACATGATATTGCCTAATGATTGCACAATGATTTTCTTGGAAAACATTCTCTTTGTACAAAACTGTTTTTAAGTAGGCTGCAAAAATGAAAATAATCTAATGAAAACCATCACATTAACACTGGACAACGTACAGATCTAACAAGTAAGTAAGGAAAAATATTTACTTTTTTGCAGAATAAGTAAAATGCAAAAGAAGATGTGAGCATGGGAGAAGGAGTGAAAAGAAAATGCTGCAATTTTCATTGCTAAGTCTGCAGTTTTGCTCCTGTGCTTTGACTGACTTACCTTTGTGCCATGTCTCTCCATATTCTCCCCCGCCCCTGATGTTTGCCACTGCTAGAACACCTCCCAGGTGTCGCACAAAAATAAGTCTTGACACGCTGAAAAAGCAAACAGATAAGAGGATTATTTTTATTTTCCAATTTTTATACACCTACCACTTCTGCAAAAATGCTTTGAGGGAAAGATCTCTCCCAAAGTCAATGATGAAATTGTGAATTAAGTCACTCTTGAAGGCAAACCTAAGTAGTTGGGCTTTTTTGATGGTTATCCATGGACATGAAACTCCCAGCAGCTTTAGGAGAGGAAGGAACCACTGCTGGTCTGTTCTTCCTCCCTCAGTTCTGCTCTTCGGAGGAGAGTGGCCAGTGGTCTGGCCTAACAGCTGACCACTCAGAATGTATCACCGTTTACAAAAGTTATCTTCAAAGCCATTAGTCTGCAGACTAGACTTATGCAGTACCACTGGACCTCCATAGCTTTCTGAATTGTTCCTCCTTCATGGGACCTCCACTTCTTCTGAGAGGAAAGGAAGATTTAGCCCAAAGGAAGAAATCAAAGAATTAAGAACAGCACTTGATTTTTGTTTATGAGCAGCTATTTTCAACCTAACTTCTGTTTAATTTACTTCTTTTGGACGTTTGCAATACTATGTTTGCAAAGTAAAATTCTGTATCTACCATCCTTTTGTGCTATGGTCAGCAGTCAAGTCAGCAGCTGGCCAATCCCATTCTTATTAATTTTCCTCTCACATTGCTAAATACAAAACAAATAGTATAACAAAATTACAGGTTCTGCCTCCCCTACTATCTCCTGAAGCTATCTGAAAACTAAAATAGCATATTTTTTTTTAAATGCCAAATTACAAAAGTATCAAAGACATTACTATCTTTTCTTTAAAATGAACTGAAGCAATCAAATTATATCTAACAAATATGTTAGTTGTTGATCTGTTGAGGGTTAACATAGCAGAAGCTCCAGAAGGCCAACCACATATATGCAAAGGAGACAAGTAAAATATTAACCTTTAACCTCAACAAGCCTTTATTTTCCCCTCTAGTAGGTTTAAATTTCTCATTTACTTGAATTCTTTGCTCACCCAGAAACCAGTCTGCAGAAAATAAATTTGTTCAACCACAAGGGCAAGGGCTGTGGTTTTTTACCTTTAAGTCCCACTGCTGCTTATCAGAAAGGGTTTGAAAAATTGCAGTCTTACAGTGTGTCTCATGTGGATGTAGTATCACAACAGGTGAAGTTTTCATACCTCCCAAAGCAATTACCTATATACTGGCACATATTCTTGAGAGTGTATATCAGGCAGTAAGGAAATGAAAAGGAAAGCACAAGGATAATTAATATGAGATTTCTGCATTTTCATAACCATCAAAGGAAAACCTTCCACCTAGGCTGGTTTATCTGGCCCATCCATGGCTCAGGAGCCATGGATTATCTCAGCTTCTGTAAAATTAATTCTTAAGACCATCACTGTGAATTGCATTTTCCTTAGATTGCTGTGACATGCTGATCAAATGCAAGATTGATATTCTAGAAGTACATTGTGCCAAGGTCAGAGAGCATTACTCTGTCAAACAGGTTGCTACACAGCTAATGTGGAGTAACCTGACAGTAGGTTGCCTCACGAGACTGTGGCTTAATTTCTGGTAGGTAGAGTCACAAAACCTCCCAAAATATTCTGCACTTCTTTTCCCTGCCTACCTCAAACTTTGGACCTTTTGGTCCAAAGTTACTTGATTCCCTAATAACCAAAAGTAGCAAGTAAGAATTACAGGTAAGGTAAGAACTTGCTTCCCAAACATACTGCCTGAGAATACTTAAAAAAAGAAAATATTCCACAATAGAGTCCATCCTCTTCCATCTGCTGAAAGGAACTGTGTCCATCTGAAGGATCATCCTGAGTCAGGACCCTAACTTGACCAATATTTTGATTATTTATAACAAACTTTCTCAAAGTCTGCTGAAAGGAACTGTGTCCATCTGAAGGATCATGGTGAGTCAGGACTCTAACTTGACCAATATTTTGATTATTTGTAACAAACTTTCTCAAAGTTTTTCTCTTGAACTTTATTTTTAAGTTCAAGGAACCAGGTTTTTAAAGTATAGAATCCAAACTTATTATTTTTTAAAAAGTGAAAATTCCAAGTAATCAGACAGCTCAAAGCTCAAGTTTCCCACAACACCCTATTACTGCCTCCTGTGTTTTTCCAGGTTGATTCTTGCTTCCAGATTTGATTTCAAGTCAGCTTGGTGTCTGAGTCACTGCAAACGGCCCAGTCAACCTGCATGGCTATGAAATGTCTCATTCTGCAAAATGAAGTCTGGCTCCCTGGTCTTCCCAACAGTCTCTGTAGCCTTTTGTTCATTATCCATGCTCTTCCTTCTCTTCTGGAAGCAGGGTAAAGGAAAGGGCAACAGGGTCAATATGGAGTCAGTGGAGGGATCAGAAGACAGTTCCCACCATGGAGAGCTCCTTCTAGACCCTCTAATCACTCATAAGGAGTATAAAACAAGAAATAATAAATCAGATCTTGTTTTTACAGTAGAGAACAATGTGAGGAGCTGTAATTCACAGAGCAAGAACACTTCCTCAGAATTACTGATCTGCTCTGAGGTATTAGAGTTGACAGAAAAATGCAGGCTGCTAGTGCACAGGAGATGGGAAAGAAGTCCTCAGCCACTGGACTTGGTTGCTTTTTAAGCTTTTGTGGAGCTGAAGAGAGAAGTAACAGAATAAGCAAAAGGCACAATCCTCCACTCTGCACTGAGGACTGCTCTGTTGCCTGACCTTTCTCCAGGCTCACAGTCTCTCTTCCCTGCACCACCTCTTTGCTTAAAGACTGGGAACAACGTGGCAGTGATATGCAATTTCACAGTCTGCTGCACAACCAGCTGCATTCCAGGATGACTTAGAATTGCTTCTCCTGTACCCACGCAGGCACACACAGAACAGAGAAGGGAAACATGTTGGTTCCCACAGTGTAGTTAGCCAAATCTGAAGGATTAGTGGTGGGTTTGTAATGGCATTTCCCCAGCAGCTCTGCCAAGCCACTGGTATCAGCCTCCATCAGCCTTCACTTGCACTTGCTATGTGGGCTGTATAATTAATGACAGTGCTCTAGCAAGCACCATCTCAAAATGCCACCAAATGAAGCTCCCCAGTCCAGTGAAGCATATGAAAGATGCATGCTTGCATTCAAAAATAAACCACTACTGTCACTGACTTAATGACTTTGGCCTATCATTCTTGCAGTTATTTCTGGATCCTGTAACCTGTTGTTTTGTTTCTATAGCTTTCAGTGAAAAAGATTTTTTTTTCCATTTTTGATGTGAAAAGGAACATCAGTTTGTGAATTAAGCAAAAATAAGCTCCCCAAACCAGAGAGTTTGTTCACACTAATGGGTGTGAAATACCAGTAAGAAAATACTGTACAGGCTGGAAGACATACAGAATTGAACCACTGGAAAAGGAGAAGATGGAATGCTTTGTGGAAAGTTTTAAGAGTCTTAAGTTTAAGTAAAAAAGCCTAGGAGTATTTGGCCAGGAATTTTTTGTTTGTTTTTTTAAAAGTAAGCTGGCTCCTACTGGTTGCATTTCCACGGCTACATCTCAGTTCAGAATTGGGTGAGTGATGTAGCAAGCCTCAGCCTTGGCCATCCTGTGGCTGCTTTCTAGCACTCATGCCTGTGGTCATAAAATAAAACAAAAACCAACCAACCAAAAAACCCAACAAACAAACAAACAAAAAAAACCAAAAAAACCAAACAAACAAAAAACCAAACCAAAACCAAACAAAAAAACCCATCACCAAATCCTGGTGTTGGGCTGTGGATGGAATGGCACTCGGATTTAGGAACTCCTTGTGTTCCTTCACTTCCTGTACTCCTTCACTCTGCAGAAGTACTGCAGAGTGTAGTAACAGAGATGGAGTAAAGCATTAGTGGAATCTGCCAGGTAAAGGGTGAACTGGACATCCTGCCTTTCTGACATAAATTCCCTCTTACAATTTCCTTTCCCTGATTTTTCCTGCCTATTTTGGAACACATTCCCTCACCAAGTACTCAATTCTCAGGTTATTAGCCATAACAGGTATTTGAAGGCTTTCGCTTTTCTTCTTTTTATTTTAGAAAGAGAAAGCTGAGAAATCATATCTTGATATTACAGGGAGAGAGTAAGGAGGGAGGTGTGGCCAATCATGTTTTATTTACATTGTCAGTGGGATAATATATTTTGATCTGGAGGTCACTGATAGTTCTCTGTGCATTTACTTTTAAGGGACTGTTACAGATTCATATTCTTAATTTATGAACTGTATAATGAAGGTTTCATAGGGTTCAGGAAAATATAGGTCACTGCTCCTACCTCCCATCTTCCTCTCTTCTAAATGTCAGCTGCACCCTTTTGCTGCTGTTTGCTGGACTCCTACGAGAATCAATTTTTAGCTTGCCAAAATGGCAGAAAAACACCCACTCCGTTTTGCTGGGATAGTTTTCTGTCATTCTTGCGGGGTAAATCAGCTTAGCAAAGGATCCAGCAAACACCAGGGCCAATGGATGGGAGGTGGAAGTAGGGACTGTGAAATACCTTCTCCTTCTGCCAGCAACCAGCTCGTGTCGTCTGCAGTACGTGAAATTTTACCTTAAATTTATAGATATGTAATATTTATTTTACATATATATTGTAAAATGAAATGAAAAATGAAATGAAAACATGGTAAATTTTATCACAGTTTTCAGCATCTGCAATAAACTGTAATAAATCAGTGATTGAACCTAAGTAAAAAAGAATTCTAAAACTATGCTCGTTATATAATTGTGTCTCTCAAGAACCACAGGAAATTAGAAGTGTAGCTTTATGAGGCAGATAAAAAGCTTACAAATAATCACAGAGCACAAGTTGGGAGGTCCATTGTTAGACAAGGTATTTGCTAAAAAGGACAAGAAACTGTAAATGCTATTCAGAAATACAATCATAGCAAACAAGAAAGGCAAGCACTAGAAAGAATTTCTTGAAATGTGCTAACTCTAAATCAAGTCTGGTAGCACCTAAACTTAAACCATTTCTTCATAATAGATTATTTTTCTGTGGTAAGCTGCTCTGCTGCTTCCTGAAAAACTGTTCTCTATTCAGCCCCTTCCGTTTCTGCTCACCTAGGAGCATTTCTTAGGCATTCAAGCATTGCCTCTTGGCAAGTGTATTCCAACTGCCTTGCTTAAGAAATAAGCCTTTTCTTTAAAGAGACCATCTATGCAATAAAGCTTATGGCTTTTGAGAGCTACAAAGCCTGTTCTGAACACAGCATTTTTGGTTTACAGTGTGTTGCTTTGCGTTTGTGAAGACAGTATAATTTGTGTCTCAGTACACAATCCTCTTTCCTGATCATATGGGACACAGAAGGATTTTGTTTCCAAGCCAAATTTAAATTATTTACATTAATTTAGTCAAACATTTGATTTTCTATAATATTTAGACATAGGTAATTGTTTAACTTGGAAAAAAGAAAACTTCCTATGCTGTTAGTTCAGCAATGGGCTCAAATATTTCCTTAATATATTTGTCCATGTTTTTCTGTTGAACTCAGTGACAGAGCAAGAAGAGGTTAAGGTGTAATCCTAAGGGCAGGGTGACTGTTGTAAACCTCAAGAGAGCAGAGCACTTCTCTGCTCTGATAGAATTTCTTCTGTGAGCCTGGGTAAAACCCCAGACAAATGATGCCGGGGCAGCTCTTATCCCTCATCTTGCTTACTTAGGAACTTGAAATGCATCCTGTCAGATTCATGGTCCACCCTGCCCACAGTCTGTGACAGCTGCTAATACCAGATACTTCAGAAGGGGTGAAGCATCCTGCTTACCTGTAGCTCGGTGTAATTGATATGTTGAAGCCTCCATATCCATACAAGAAGGCAGGGTGAGAACCATCTAATTTAATTCCTTTCTTGTGAATAATAAACATTGGGATCTTAGTGCCATCTTTGCTAGGGTAGAAAACCTAAGACAAGAGAAAAAGAAATACAAAATGCTCTCAGTGCTGTAACTCTCCTCAAGTGCTGTTAACAAGAATGAGAGGTGGTAATTTCCATGGGGTCTGATGGGTAAAACCTTCTGAGCAACTTGCACCAATTGCCCAGGTCAGGTTCAGTACTGGGCACCACCTGCTTGGTTGTGTAGCAGCTCTGGAAAATGTATCAAAATGAGACAAAGGGTATGAGGTATCACCTTTAGGTATCTTATCCATCAGTTCTACACACAAGAGGGTTTAAGAAAATGTTACAAAAAGAATACAGCTCTCTGCAAGGGAAGACTACCAAAACACAAGGGCTGCATGGTCCATCACATGTGAAATGAGCAAAGACTGAGCTGGCACATAGAACAAACAGAATTTAAACCAGATTTCCTGCACAGATGAATTCACCAAGGCAAGTCTCTATGAAGCAAAAGTGGACTTAGCATTGCCCAGTCTTTCAGGTTATCTCAGGGACACTTCAGCCTCATCAGGGTGGTAACACAAACCATGACAGAAACTTTTGTTGCACTTTGGTGCATTTTCAGACATTACTAGGCAACTAGAACCAGGAGACCCAACCTTGCAGAATCCCCAGTCCATCAAGTAAGACAACTGAACTGCCCACCGGCTTTCTTCCTGAAAGGAAACCAGCTCCCAAAACACCAAGTATCCACATAGCACATGCCTTCATACATCTTTCTATTGCTGCCACAGCACTGTGTGAAGTTAAAAGCTGAACTCCATGTACACAAACATAGACTGTAATTGCTTAACACAGTTCCCACATCTTCTTGTTCGGATGCATGTCTCTGCCTGCATACTCTAATTTGGGATCCACTGTGTTATATTTTGCCAAACAAGAAAAAAATGTGGCTGTGAATGCAGCTTACTGCTTGTCCTAAAATTCTGTCTGATTCCTTTTCACTGCCTTGCTTTGACATCATGGCAGCTTCGACTCTAATTAGAACAAAAATGTAGTAAATGAAGAATGACATATTCTTATAATTTAGTTGCATGTTTACAATCTCTGCTTTTAAAGGAAATAGTTCCACCATGATTTGTAAAGCATATGATCAACAGGTTCTATTTTTACAACACATGAACCTCATCAGTAATATGAACCTATGCAACACATTTATTCTGAGCATTGCCTGTAATGTGAAACATGTAAATCCACATGGCTGAAAACAAAGTAATCACATTTAATTTTAGTTTAATCATTGCTAAGGAAATGTGAGAAATTTCAAATGAAATCACATCTACCTCCAAAGGCTTTACCAAAACCTCTAGACATATTACAGATAAAAATTCAGTATTTCACAGCACCCACAGTAGATAGGGAAAAAAACAAACCCAAAACCAAAAGCCTAAGGGTGTTTCTATGCAGATGAAATAACTTTTTCCAAATGCCATAACTGTATCTTAACTGACAAAGTGCTTGTCAGAACAGTAGAGTATAATGGATTTTCACTTTAAATAGTTACCTGAACACTATAAACGAAAAATAACTGATGAACAGGAGAACTGCTGAGGGTGATGATGAGGCGTTCCAGAGACTCTTCCCTAAAATATCATCTGTCAACTCCAGCTGTTGCTGGAAATTCTCAGGAAGCAAGCACCTGGCTGTTATAAATTTCCAGAAACTTACTGCTGTTGGCCAGTCCTTTCCTGATGACTAAAGCATGCCACTAATCTTACTGCTGGTTTCTGAATGAGGACTTTATCTTTTATATAACAGCTCGCTGAAAACTGACTTCTGTAGGGCTTTTATTGTCATCAGTTAAGATACAATAACATACCATTAAATGAAATCTCAACAAATCTCAAATGTCAAGCTGCATGTCATGGCTTAAATGTGCAATTTAAGGGGTTTCAGTCCTATTTTTGCTAAAATAATTATTACCTCTCCCTCCAAGAACACAAGAGAAGGGGAGCAGAAATCAATTCAGTGAGACATTAAGATACGTGAAGCCATTTAAGCTTCTCCAAATAGACTATTTTCAACAACTGATTCAATCTCACCTTTAAATTAGCTGTTATCTCTGAAGTAAGTCCAATGGTTTATTCATGTAACCAATAAAGGGATGTGCTTCTATCTCAAAGATTAAGGTAAACTACAAAGGGCAAGCCCTAAAAAGGATTTCACATGATGGTGTTTCATGCCTAACTTTAGATGCTGTCAGCTTTTACAGTGCTAAATGCTCATTAAAGAGTACTAACTTCTCCTGTTTTATCACAGTTAGGAGAGATCCACTTGTGCCAATCACATTATATTACTCATTGTCCATATAATTTCCAATAAGGTCTTAAGCCACTAAGGTCAGCATATATACTAAGAGGACAAGTAAGGAAAATGCATTTGAAGGGAAAAGGATGGAGAAAAACACTTCAGAAATATTATTATGAATGCTGAAACTCACCATTCAAAGAGGGACATGCTAAAAATAAGTATCTTCAGCCTTTAGGAATGCAAGAGCAATGCTGTGTGGTTGACAGGGCACTCCTGCTGCGTGCAACCCTTGGTGCTATTCTAGGAGCATAGTGCTGGAGCAGTAGAGCAGCCCTGGAATTGTTCTATCAGTCTCACACTCATGTCCCTGTGTCACATGGCACTGGGGTCTCAGTGCCAGAAGCACCTTCAATTCAGATGGCAGAACCTGAAGTGTGTATTTATAGCCTCTAGTCTACTTATTGTGATGGAAGGAGAAAGCAACATTCTTTTCACAGTTACTCACTGCTACAAATTACATGAAAAATAAGCTATATAAGCAAAACAGAACCCAATCTTAATCATTCTTTAGTGCATACATATGTATTTATACAGTGCTGTGTTACTGTCTTTTGATTTTTAAACTTAGCATTGGAAAGCAATTTAGATTAATTTTCACCAGAAAAAGGCAATGGATGTTTAGTCAAAGACAGTTTACAGAGTAAGTTTTACAAGCAAATATAGTGAACATCTCTGTGCTCGGGCTTGTAAATTTACTTAGGAGTTAAGCAGGACAAAAAAGTTCAGTACATTCATTCCTGGGGAGGTCTTTGTCCTTCTAATTATCATCTGCTTTAAATGTGCTGTATTTATATTAGGTGAATCTTCCCTTAGGGAAGGGGGGAACTAGCAGCTGGCATGGTAGACAAAGACCTAAATTCATAAAGGCTCTATATTTATCCACCTCTGCCTCTGCAATGACAAAAAGCATCCTCTCCATCTCAAATCACCAGGAGGCAAAGCTAAGTATTTCAGAAAAACAAAAGTTCTGAAAAACAGAGGCTGCAGATGAAGTTTTCTTTCATTTATCTGCAGAGATAACATTGCCAGATATTGATACTTGGACATAGAACTAAAAATAACTTTGGCAATCATCCAATATGCACTTCTCTTGTAAATATAAAATCAGTACCTTAGAATATTAAAGAAAGTGACACAATCATCCCAATAAATAAACAAAACTAATCTGTCTGCATACTCACATTGTGCCACAAAACTAAAAATACCTAAATTACTGACGCTGAATAGAAACTTCAATTTTTAAAAATTTAAATCCTCAGCAACTTCTGAGTATTTAGTTTTACTTCTCCCTTTCAGAATTATTTTATCTATTTATATAATGCAAAAGATTAAAAGATGTATGTAATTATAATTGTTTGGGTGTGAAAAGTGCACCTGAAATCATCTTGCTTTTAAAAAACCTAAAATCCTTCTACACAAAACCCAACCCCAAATCTTTACATATTTAAAAACTAACCTTCTAAGGTAAGATTCAACACAGGTTTTGAAATGCTACTGTAAGACACAAATCCAAAATGATCTTGTCCATATGGGTATAATGTATTTATTTTTGGAACTGTGAATGTTCACAAATCTTTTATCATTTTCCTGACTTGCTCACTAATGGCAAAGTATTAAAATCCAGTTTAAAAGTGATTAGTTTGTCTTGTCAAGAAAGAAGTATGTCCTGTAGATAAAACATTAATTTTATACAAGAGAAGAAACTTTAATTTCTGAGACTTGAAAACACCCCCTAAGTCACAGTAGGCTAATTATTCATAGGAAGCCAATAGTTATTCTAATAATACCTCTCCCAAATTCTCTTTCAAGATTAGGTATTACATACCAGAAAGAACAATTGTTTCCATGTCTGCGTGTGCTTGATCAAAACCAGGTAAGAATCACACCTGTCATTAGACTGACATCCATTGCGTGAAATGCCAAAAAATTTTACAAAGAGCAACTAAAAAGGCATATAAATCAAGCTGGAATGCTCCTTATTAAAAATTCACGTTCAATGATTTAGGTTTACTAACACCACAACAATGCCTTCAAAATAATTTTTTCCAATATGTCCTATACAGTTATTCTGAGATAATTAATTTTCATTTGAAACAAACAGAGGATTTAGCAGTTTTGTGGGATTTAGCAATATTTTTCTACTTCTAGGTAAGAGCAGCTGCCCTCACACACTGCTGCAGCCACCACAAAGTTACAGACAAACTGGGGAGGCAAAACACTCTGTTCAGTCCCAGCAATCCCTGGCACAGGGAATTGCTGGGAATGACTACTTGGAACTGAGTTTCAAACATCCAGTTTCACAAAAAGTATTCCCTTGTTAAGTGAAGATTTCTCAATACACTTACATCAACATTTGTGTTTTGAGATTTGGAGAAGAAAAGTACAAGGAATTCACTGCACACCTTTTGCCAAATGTCACAAATGCTTTGTTAAATGTGCACTGTTTTAAAAATCCCACACCAGTATCTTTGAAAGGTGACTGGAACAGTAAACTTAAAGGAACAGTCCCTAGAGAAAGTCTTCCTTCACAGATGGTGGCATCAAAGAGATACCAGTGCCAGAGCAATGCCACATAGCAACATCTCCCACTGACAAGTCCTAACACTCGGTGCTTCAGGAAGGCAAGTCACAAAGACAAGTCTGGACGTGCAGCACTGGCAGGCAGGGAGAAAGCCTCTCTTGAGACACCAGGGCA